CCCCCCAACAATCTGAGTCCTCATTTTACCGACCTCAGAAGGATGGAAGCCCGAGTCGACCTTGAGCTGGTCAGGATCGAACTCCTGGCTGTGAGCAGAATTTGCCTCCAATGCTGCACTCTAACCACTGCGCCACCAGGGCTCTTGATAATCAATGCCCAATTAATACAGCCTGCTTCTCCTGTGCATTCGCCGGCCTGATCTCTCTCCAAATGCAAGAAGGGGCTTCCGACGTGAGCTCGGCCGGCTTTCTAAACCAGATTCCCGCAACCCCCATTTCACAAACGAGACTCGAAAAGGAGGAGGAGGAGGAAGAGGAGGAGGAGGAGGGCCAACTAAGAGCCTAATGGTTTATTGGCAGAGGAAGGGGTGGCAATTCTCCGACGGCCTCTGCCGCAGCGGAGACCCTCATAATACTGGAACCCCTCTGGGCAGACCCGGGAGGGGGGCCCTTTAACAAGAGGAGCTGCCCGAAGATGAAGCCGGCTGGGGAGGATCCCGAGGACAGTTTCCCCTGCTTGGCCCGGCAAAGGTCCCTGGGGGCGGGTGGGAAAGGCCGTCTCGAAGGGTCAAAGGTCCAGGCCGTCCCGCAAGCTTCGAGGACCGGGCGTTGGAGGGAGGCGCCTTCCAACTCGTCTCCAGGCCGGACCGCGGAGGAGCTGGCGGGCATCGCGTCCTCAACGTCCTCATCACAAGGCGATCTTGGTGTTTCGGAAGCTGGAGTTATCCCTGCAACAGGAAGGAGGAAAACAGACCGTCAGGCTCCCCGCTAAAGACGTAGCGGCCGCATTCGAGTTTGTGAGTGCCCGAGAACTGATGAGCTAAGCTTTGGGGGGTGGGTGGGGTGGGTGGAGGGGGAGGTGGAGGTCAGTCCCTCGGCAGAAGCAGCAAATACTTCCTGGAACCCATTAGGCCCCACCGGTGGCTACCTGCCCGTCAAGGGTTTGCTACACGTTGCCAAGCAGTTCTCTTTCTGCGCGGACTCCCCCCACCCCCACCCCCGAGGGCGCATGAATGCAGCTAACAGCCCATTAAGGGCAGGGAAAGGGCGGCTTGTTAAGGTTTGATGGCCTTTTGCGTAACAAAGAGGGTCCCGGCGCAAACGAGAGGGGAGTCTCGAACTGGCTTCTGGTTCCCCCTCGCTGTCGGCCTTGGGAGCCATCTTTTTTTTTTAACTTGGAAGCTTCGAGGCTGTGCAGAGGTGGTCTTCAAGCAGGTTCTGACCCGTTCTGGAGAACCGGTAGCGGAAATTTGGAGTAGTTCGGAGAATCGGCAAATCCGACCTCTGACTGGCCCCACCAACCCCATCTATTCTCTGCCTCCTATTGAGGCCCAGCTGATTGGCTGGGTCTCCTTTGGTTGCCCTGCGCAGGAGAACGGAGCTGGAAAGCAGGTTGGTGGGGTGGGGAGGGAAGGGGGATTTTGCAGTATCCTTCCCCCCTGCCATGCCCACCAAGCCACACCACATCCACCAAGCCATGCCCACCGAACCAGTAGTAAAAAAATTTTTTTTAATCCCACCACTGATTAACAGTGCCTGGGAATTTGGGAGTGGGGATTTCATAGTCAGGTAGAAGATTAGACTCAACAACATTCTCGGAGAGTCAAGGACAAGTTGCCATGCACCTGGAGAGGAGTGACTGTTGTGGTTCGCCAGCAGCCTGTGCAGATGGCAGCGGAATTGGACAGTGGGGAAGGACTCCGGGAGTCTGGAGAGGACTCAAAGGGTCCTGCGTCTGATGCAGGGATGGGGCCAGGACCACCTGGGAGCGGGATGCTGACTCCGGAGCCTCTGGAGTCTGGCAGCAGTGAGGCAGAGGACCCACACACACTGTTCCCAGTGCGTGTGTGTGCAGAGCTGCTAGAAGACAAGAACAGCTGAGACAAAAGGAGCGACTTGGGTGTAAGGCTTGGAGGTGATTGTCCCTCCCCTAAGGTATAAAGAACAGGCAAAGATGATGAAACCTTTGCAGGAAGCAAAGTCGTTTGCTCTGTTCGGATTAAACCTTGAAGCTCTGTGTGGACTTGTACTTCGGTTGGTTTTTTAAGAGTTCATTTGGCACTTTTGGTGTTGGCAGCAATTCAAAGCAGAGAAAGGTGGGTGCTTATCTCGAGGGACTGTTTGGGACACATTACAGGCTGGGAATGAACATAATTCCCAGCACTGAAATAAAACAAGGGTTGTTTTAATTAAGCGTGTTCTTAATTACAGTCTCAGAAGCCTTGGCCAGAACAGTGACTAGGGGAATGTCTCCAGTTGGGACGAAGATTTGATCGGGCCAGGTGATGGACTGGTGGGTGCAGGGGATGATGGATCTTGGAATTCTCTTTTGGGAACTCTCAGATTTAGGTTTTTCTCAGATGTGCCAATATGACAACTCTAATAAAATGGAACTTTGAAGGAATTAGTGCCTTGGAGTTTATGGGTTTGGAGTTGGTTAGTTGGAACACTGACATTAACCCAAATCTCAAAATTCACAGGCACTGAATGTGGCGGCCTTGAAGCTTCCAAGTTAAAAAAAAAAGGGGGCTTCCAAGACTGACAGCGAGGGTGAACCAGAAGCCAATTGGGCACTCCATCTCGTTGGCGCTGAGTTGGTTGGAAGGCTACACTTCGCGATGCGAGCGGGAAGGTGGCAGCCAACGTTTCCCCCAAATTAGGATGCCCTCCAAGCCTCACAGAGCATCTCCCTTGTGGTTCTGCTGGCTGGAGGAATCTTAAGACAGGCCGTGAGGGGTTTGCAACCAGGCTGCAGAAATGGCTGGCAAGAGCGTGGCCACAAGCACACACACATCCTCGCTTGTGAGAGAAGCGGGCGAGCATGAACCCTCCGGTCAAGGGAACGGCGTGCGTGCCGTTCGAGTCAATGGAGCTGCGTGCGTGCGTGCTCTTGCCAGTCACTCGTGCAGAACCATCCTCCCCCCTCCCCCCCGGTCCAGAAAGCCAGAAATGTGGAGGAACTCTGGTGTAAGGTATCTGGGAGGCATCTACTCGGGGAGTACATTAAAACTGCCAGCAATTCTCCTTTCGTGGGTCTGAATCCTCCCTCTCCCCAATGAAGAAGACCCCTCTGGTTTTATTCTTCTCTCTTTCATGCACGTCTGCCCACTCCTGGTTTGTGACTTCCATCCAGAGCTTCTCTCTTGGAAACAGCGGAGCAGACTTAACTCACAGCTCCCTAATGGGAGGAAGGCATGTAGTACGCTAAGTCCTCCGATAGACACGGAGTCCTTTGCCAGCCAGCCTCAGCAGCCGGCCGAAAACTGTGCCAAACGTTTTCCCCAAACCCAGAAAGCATCCACCCCCCCAAAAAAGGATCCATTTTCATTGGCCTGGCTGCAAGTGAGCACGGTGCTCGAGGCATCCCGTGTGGTTGGCCTGGATGAGATTACAAGCTGCCTTCGGGATCTAGGACAACCCGCCATAGCCAACTTCCTGCCGGACCAGTTATTACTAATATTGAAGAAATGAGGAAATAGAATCATTCAGAGCCGAAGTGGCCCAGTGGTTAGGATGCAGGCTGACTCTGCCCACTGCCAGCAGTTCGATCCTGACCAGCTCAAGGTTTGACTCCAATTTTCATTTTTTTCCGAGGTCAGTAAAATGAGGACCCACATTGTTGGGGCAGCAATAGGCTGACTCTGTAGAACAGCGGTCCCCAAACTTTGTGGCTTGGGGACCAGCCCGGTTGGAGGGGTGGGGAGAGAGAAGGGAACTGGGCTATGTGAGCATCGGACTAGCATGCACGTGCATGCAGTTTCACTCACCCTAGCTGGCACGCACATGCATGCATGTGCAGCTCAGCTTGGGTGAGTCGAGCTGCATGCACGCACGTACACGCCAGCCCGCCACTCACGCAGCCTGGTTGCAAATAGGCCGCGGCCCAGAGGTTTGGGAGCCCTTGCTGTAGACTGCCTAGAGAGGGCTGTAAAGCTCTATGAAGCGGCATACAAGTATGAGCCACAGTGGCGCAGTGGTTAGAGTGCAGTACTACAGGCTACTTCTGCTGCCCGCCGCCCTCCCTGCAATTTGGCAATTCAAATCCCACCAGGCTCAAGGTTGACTCAGCCTTCTATCCTTCCAAGGTGGGTAAAATGAGGACCCAAGATTGTTGGGGGACAAATATGCTGACTCTGTAAATCGCTTAGCGAGGGCTGCAAAGCACTGTAAAGCGGTATATAAGTTTAAGTGCTACTGCTATTGCTAAGGGTTAAGGAGGCCAAAGGAAGGACAAAACGAAATGGGAACAATAGCAAAAATTAAAATAATTTTGTAAATTATTTCAAATAATTGAATCGAATTGTCAAATGGTTCTGCAGAGAGTTGTGCAGTGGCGAGTTGTCTCATTCCACTGCCTTCAAGGGCAACAGCTGGATAAGAGGGAAGACTTGGAGGGAAACAAATTTATTTTAATTTTATTTTTCTTAAAAAAGGTAAGGCTGGAACCTTTCTCAAGCCCAACCCTGCACTGTGATTGCTTTTTTTTTTTTTTTTAAAGGGAGCAGATACTTGTGCAAACCAAACATTTCACTCTTCTGTAGTCTATTTGGGTTACTGTGTAATTGTTGCACAATGCCAACCAAGCTTGTTGCTGATGGAAGGTGATAAAATCAACACCTGGTTGGGCTCTCTTCCTGGAGTGCCTAGGGAGGTCCTTTCTTTTATTGTGGGGGCTTTGTGTTTGTGTGTGTGTGTTTGTCTTGTTGTTCCAGCCCTCCTCCCGTTTCCTGCTCTAAGAGTTTGGCATTTTGTAAGCCCGAGTTGCTTAATCCTGCAATCTAGGATTTGGAGATGAATTAGTTAATGATCAAAGCAGAGGAGCCGCGGGGTGTGTGGTGAATGAATAGCCAAGATGGCGGACAGCGGTCACAATAGTGCAATGTTTGTGTGTGATGTGCCTAAAACCTGGGGGGGGGGGGGTTGAAATTGGACTGTCCCGGCCAGCCACCTGAATGTAGGCCGTGGGCATCCAACCTTGGCAATTTTTAAGACTTGTGGACTTCACCTCCCAGAATTCCCCAGCCAGCATACTCTCTTGTGATCCCTTCCTCTGCAATCTCTCTCCACTTTAGGAGGTTAAGAGAAAAAAGAAACAGACACGGCTGGCTGGGGAATTCTGGGAGTTGATGCCCACAAGTCTTAAAAGTGGCCAAGTTTGGAGACCTCTGCCTTAACCGTTAGACTAAAGACTTTGTGGACTTCAACTCCCAAAATTCTCCCCAGCCAGCATAGCTTACTCTCTTGTGATCCCTTCCTCTGCAATCTCTCTCCACTTGAGGAGGTTAAGAGAAAAAAGAAACAGACACGGCTGGCTGAGGAATTCTGGGAGTTGAAGTCCACAAGTCTTAAAAGTTGCCAAGGTTGAAACCCTGTTGTAGGCACTCCTGATTCAAAATATTCTAAGGGGCAGGGGCTTTCCCATTCTTCCTTCCTTCTCCTCCCGTTACGACGGGACGGACACTTAGAAATGAAACACACAGCCAACCACAGAGAAGGAAAGGGCCCGGGAGGAAGATCTTGGTAGTTTGAACGTCAAGCCAACCACGAAGGCAGGTCAAAGCCAGCTCCTCCAGATGGAGGGAGGAGCCTGGCGCCGCCTCGCCCTGCGACGCGAGCAGCACCTTGCCACAGGCCGCACAACAGCAGCAACATGAAATCAATAAAAATGTTAAATAAATAAAAAACAAACAAACATGAAACCAAAGGGAGTCCTAGAACAGCCTTCGGGTTTGTCCTGGCTGATTTTGTTTTGTGCTGATCCCCGGGTCCTCTCCTTCCCAAAACTTGAGCGGGGAGGACCACGATCAGAAGGTGAGCCTAGGTGGGTGCTGAAGATACCCTCTGGCCCCTTCAGTCTTTGGAGCCTAGTCATTTAATAGCAATAGCAGACTTATATAGTGCTTTACAGCCCTCTCTCAGCAGTTTATGGAGCTGGCTCAGACATGAGCTCTGAGGAGTGTTCTGTATTGGAGACAGAGATGGGGCCAGGGCCGTCCGACAGTTATCAGCTGCCTTCGGAGTTGGAGATCAGTGGGGAAGAAGAACAGCTGGAGCCTGTGGCCGATGTGTGCATGCGCAGAGCTGCCAGGAGAAGGGAACAGTTAAGGAACAAGGGTCGACTGAGGAGTAAAGGCACAGGTGGACGGTGAATGGCCCCTCCCAGAGGGAATAAAGAGGGGCGAAAGGGGAGTGGTGTTTGCAGAAGACAATTAGTTCGTTTAATTAGTGTGAAGATTTATTTGTGACTCTCAAGAGACTCCTTGCCAAGTATTTCCTTGTACAGAGTTGCGCTGGGAAGCTATCGGCCTGGGAACTCTCCAAGCCTGATAAGGTCTGTGGTTGTAAATTCACCAATCAAAGACTGTTTGCTGGATTTTGCTGATGTGAATGAGAGGAATTCACATGAGCCTAAATAAAAGGGGTTTTGTCGGGATGTAGAGTCTGCTTTGTGATTTTGTGAAGCCTACGTCAGAAGATGGAGTCAGCATATTGCTCCCAACAATCTGGGTCCTCATTTTATAGACCTGGGAAGGATGGAAGGCTGAGTTGACCTTGAGCCGGTCAGGGTCAAACTACTGGCAATGAGCAGAATCAGCCTGCAATCTTGTCTTCTTACCACCGTGCTGTTTTCTTCTTCCCTCTTCGAGCCGCGGGTGGCGCAGTGGTTACAAAGCAGCATTGGCAGTGACTCTGCTCACTGCCGGCAGTTCAATCCTGACCGGCTCCAGGTTGACTCAGCCTTCCATCCTTCCCAGGTCTGTAAAACGAGGACCCAGATTGTTTGGGGGAGGGTGGGTGGCAATACGTTGACTCTGTATACTGCTTTAGAAAGGGCTGTAAAGCATTATAAAGTGGTATCTAAGTCTAAGTGCTATTGCTATTCTTTCGCTGAGCCTCAGTTCTACGGGGATGGACACGCTTTCGTGGCAGCAAAGCTGGGCGTGGCAACCAGTCAACCAGCCAAATTGGATGGAAGAGGGTGGGGGGCAACATGGTCACACCTGCCAGAAGTCCCTTCCAGTTTGCGTGTTGGGTTTTGAAAAACCAAGAGGGATAATTTGGAGGTGGCAGCTTGTGCCCGGACTGCCGGTCCCCCCAGCTGTGTTGGCGGGTTAAGGTGGTTAAGCTGGCAGGACTCGGGGCCTCCCTCCCTGCCCACTTGATGGTCCCACATCCACACAACACAAGCAAGCTAAGGATGTACCTCTCAGCCTCGGAAGGGCTTTGGCAACAGGCCAGGTGATCTCTCAAAGGGGGCAGATAAAGGGGTTTACGAGGACTGGATGCCCCAAGAATTTATCCTGGACTCCCCACCCACCCACCCACCCCCAAAAATCTCATCTTCGATGAGACCCACCATAAAGGATCATCCTCTGCAGGTTTCCAAGCCAAGGGGGAAATATCTGTAGTTTGGTTAAGGATGGGATTTAACATGGTTGTGTTTGTTTTTTTCCCCCAGGATGGTTCAGAGCTGCTTAGAGGTGAAAGAATTTGGCCTGGCTACATTTAAAAGACGCCGCTCTGATATTGCAAGGATGATATGCCACTTATATGCATAACATACATACATACATACATACAGAGAGAGAGGGAGAGAGAGAGAGACAGACAGACAGACAGACAGACAGGCAGAGAGAGAGAGACATACAGAGAGAGAGAGAGAGAGAGAGAGAGAGAGAGAGAGAGAGAGAGAGAGAGAGAGAAAGAAAGAAAGAAAGAAAGAAAGAAAGAAAGAAAGAAAGAAAGAAAGAAAGAAAGAAAGAAAGAAAAGAAAAGAAAAGAAAAGAAAAGAAAAGAAAAGAAAAGAAGAAAAGAAAAGAAAAGAAAAGAAAAGAACAGAAAAGAAAAGAAAAGAAAAGCCATGGATTCAGGGGAAAGAACTAGCCATCCTGGAGTATCTCAAGGCTGCAGGACTCAGAAATGGAACTGCAACTCTCTTGGAGCAGGCGTGAGTGCGAATGGTGCCAGAGGAGGGGTGGGGGGGAAGAAACTCTGGCTGAGAGGTACATCCCATAATGGCTAAGAAGAAAGATGATGCCCTACCCTGGGCCTGTGAGAGAGGGAGGGAGGACGCTCATTTCAGCGGCCGCTGCTGTTCACCAGGCCATGAAACTCTTCCCAGGCCCTGGCAAGCCAGAGGAGGGGGGGGGGAGGAGAAAACCAAAGGGGGGAGGGGG